GCAGGAATGGACAAACCAGTTGCTATGCTTGCCAAGCACAGGCTTGCTTGCTTTTAGCAAATGCCTACTGCAACACACATGTGGACAGACTGATCCAACATTGGTAGAGTTTCACCCTTGATCTTTATGATTGATTCCACACTAACAGCACAAAGTTACTTTGGGTTAGGGCTTGCATTATCTGTCTACTACCTGTTGATAATCAGTTTAAACACGTCATCTCTCCATGCCCTGACTCAACCACATGCTTGTGCACTATACTGAAACAAACATATTGTAAGCATTAAAGAAAGTAGCAAGTTTCTTATTAAGTTTTAAATCAGGTTTTTATAGAATAACCAACAAGCTACTAACTGATATTTGATGTTTCTGGATGTTAAATATGAACAGACTTAAAATTAAAGAGTTTCCAAAATCCTGGAAGAGGAATTTAAGTTACTATATTGATACATTTTAATACTGATGACATCAAATACATCTTCATTGCAAAAGTGTCATTTAATCATGTTTTATTCTTCCACATCAATGAACAAAGACCGACTTGGTGGCTAATTTTATCCTGACTAATCTAATATTCAGCACTTTTTAAGAATTGAATGAATCCCTCCTTTTCTAACTACTTGTGTCTTTATAAGGTTTACATTTTACTTAAAAAACTATTTCTTTATTTCAGTCCATTGAATCATTTGTTTCCTGCTACCTCATTAAACTTCAGACATGTAGAACAATCACTAGTTCTGGTCACACATTTACATTACTGATCATCAAGTTTTACATTTGCTATAATAAACATGAGAAGCAAATATCTACTGAAATTCATACTTTAAAAGGTGAGTCCTGAATATCAAAATAATCCACTCAGGTTTATCCACGACTAAGTCTATGTCACTGGATGCTTTGAATGCCTTGTGGAAGTTTCTAGATTCTAGCATACTAATCCTGATAAATTCACAATTCTACTTGCTTCCTGATTTTCACGCATCCAATAGAAGTTGTTCCTATTCACCTGCCATGACCCTCTTTGCAATAACTTTACCATTCCCCATTCTCTGCTGGGATTTAGGTGCTTCCTTGGTTATTATTCTTTCCTTATAGGCAAAATAAAAACCTTGATATTCTTATAACTTCTCTTTTGACTTTTGAGAACAGAAAAGTTTTTCACTTAGGCCTCCAGCAGACATTACACTTCAGATGTGATTAACCAGTTAATCACGTCTTAAGTAGTAACCAGGCCAGACATTCAGGCAATTAATGGAGTCATAAAACAGGGAATAAGTCATAAAATTATTATTAAAAAATATGTGTAATAACTTTGTGGCTGGTTCTCATCGCACCTTAAACTGAACATGGTCAGCACCAAACAGTGTTCCCAGTCTCAGGAGTGCACTGGAACCCTTCAAGACTCCTAGGAGCACATCAGAGCCTTGAAGGGCTCCCATGTGCTACCAAAGCTGGGAGTACCAGTCAGCTGCTAGGTGCTGCCAGTTGTGAGAGCACATTGGAGCCCTTCACTCTAGTGCGTTCCTGTGGTTGGGAGTACAAGTCAGCTGATAGACACCTCCGGCCTCAGGCGCGCACCTATACTTTGAAGGGCTCTGGAGTAATCCTGGGGATTGGAGCACTGATAAGCTAATCAGCACTGGTCACATGTTCAATATCAAGTGCAATGGGAATCAATTACAAAGTTATTATACATACTTCCCGATCATCTGAGTGGCAGTCCCAACCACAGAAGCACACTACAGCGAAAGGCTCCAGTGGACTACCACAGCTAGGAGCACCAATCAGCTGAATGATCATGATACCAGGCTCCCCCTGCAAGAGCAACAGGACACTATTGGAATCTGATCCCTGATCCTACAAATTGCACCTCCTGCCATATACGTGTGGCATGGCAGTAAGCATGATTGTTGGGATTGCGGATTAGATCTCATCACACCTAATGGAATGCCTGTCAGCAGCCTCAGAAACTGAAATTTGAGCATAGCAGGCATTCAAGGGATGTGGTGACAGACTGGTTAAGACATCTGTTCCTGACTCCAGATGGTATAATTTTGAAGCCTCACCCTGAACCAGTGTTGAAGGCTGCCTCCTGCTGTATGTGGATACCTGGTCATTCAGGTTGTGGGAGATAAAAGGTGCCAGGATGTGATGCTAGATGCATCATTTCCTTGTGTTTTGTTGGTTATAACCCATCTCTTCTTATAATAAGACCCATGCTAGTCTGGTGGGCTGCTCATCTTGGGCAGACTTTTGATTTTTTTGATAGGCATTCAAGCTATTTTTGAAAAACAATCCTTGAATCCTTCAAGCTATTTTTGAAAAACAAACCCAAAAAGAGAAATAATCCCTTCAGACTCACTCCCTTCCCTTTCCTGACATCCTTCTGTTTGTAGACTATTATGATGATACGTTAAAAATTCTTTTGCTCCTACAGAGGCAAAGGCAAAGTTAAGCCATTATTTAACAATTGTGTAATTAAGGCCTCACCTACACTATAAAGTTTTTCTGGCAAAACTCCAGTGCTGCTGGCAAAGCTTTAAGTGTGTTCACACCCAACCCTTTCTTGCTGTGGACAAACCTTCCTTTCTCCTGACAGTTATACCACCTGTGCTGAGTGAACTAAAGGTTTTTGCCTCTGTCCAGAGTCTGGCAAAAGGTTTCTGCCTTTGTTCCTTCAGCAGCAAGTGCTTTCTTAAGGTGCAGTTTGCACTCTTGTAGCACAGCTGTGGAGCACAACCACAAACAAGATGCCATAAACACATGGATACACTTGGATTTGTGGCACAGTAGTGTCAGGTGATGTCTGCCACAAGCAGTTCTGGCAACAAAGGAAGGTAGGTTATGAGTACACAAGGCCTAAATACTTCAATCTTAACTAAAGCAAAATGACCACAAAGCCCATTTAACTTTCCATATGTACCTCTTGTGTAGTCATCTACACCAGTAGCTAGCATTCTTGATTGCATAGCATTCTGCACTTGTCATTTATGCCAATGTAAAACATTACAAGGGGCAAAGGTGAATTGGTACCTGAAAATTCTGGTAAAGTAAGGATTGTAGAATTTAGACCTTTCTAACTATTTTTAAGTTTGATCCTTTTACTTTGGATATTCATACTATATTTTGATAATCTGAAATGATACAAATCAAAATCAGTATCTAATGATTAACATTATATAAATATTTTCCAGGAATATTTTCAAGTATTCAAATAGTATTTCATGGTCTCAAAAAGCAACTTCTGCATAAACTGGAGAACTTCCTCATATAGTCAATCTACCCTATCACGGAAGTGCTGTGCAGAAGTTTCAGTATGAGTTATCCTTCTTTGTATTTCACACCACTGTGAAATACATCTGATATGTTCTGCATCAAAAACAGCAGTTGAACTGAGGACAAGGAGCAAATCAAAACTGATCAAACTTTTGTACCGAGACTCAAAACACACATGGCCAGTAAAGCACTGTAGGAGAGAAATGTTACGTTCTTGCCTTCAAGAAAGCAGGGAAAATGGTTCCAAATTCAACCAATTGCTTTCTCCATGAAATACACTTTTTAAAGAAAGCTGCATATACGCTGGTGATTTTTTAATGGAAATTAAGGCGATGCAGGCATTGGTATACCAAATTACTGCTCACATGCGAGTTGAGAGCCAGAATCCAAAAGTTTTGAGCAATAACTTTTTCCACAAGTTCTCGCACTGAAGTCAACTCACAAAAAAGTGCTAGTCTCATTTACTATTATGGAAGGCAAAGGTACTTCACAGTGAGTTTAACCATTTAAACACTGGCTCAAAGTTCCTCTTACTTACTACAACAGTCCTTGTGTTAATGAGTTGAGGAAAGGTTTTAAAATCTGACCTGTGCTAAAGAAAATGCATTCCAGGGACTTTGACTCTTTTTGGTTTGGCTGTTAAGTTTGCTCTTAAAAGAATATTTAAAAGACTAAAAGAGGGATACTTACAAAACACTCATCTTTAACTCTTCATGAAATATTGCAGTGCCCAAGCAGGTATGGAAAAATGTTAGTTTGGTGTTGATAATAAAATTGATTTTCATCCTCCATGTTAGGTTTTTTGTTTCTTTTTAATCGAACCATAGGAAGATACATTTCCTCCTATTC